CTCTAGAGCTCATTTAGAATTGTGTTGTTACTTTGTGCTTTTATTTTGGAAGATTAAAGTACAAATTTTCTGTACCATTATTTTTTTACTTATATTTTTTTATAATATTTACAGAAGTTATGTTCAAAATAAAGAAACAACAAATTAAAGAGGCTATCAAACCAAATGAAGCTAACGTGTTTACTTTTTGTTTGTTTGTTTTGTTTTGTTTTGTTTTGTTTTTTTCGTTAACAAAGTGTATTTGCTCCTGCAGGCCCACTACTCCACAGGCAGAGTTTCTGCCTCCTTCACCTCCACGGCCATGACTCCAGCAACCACACAGGAAGCAGGCGAGTGAAACCTGCTCTTATTTTGTTCTGTAATCTCTCTCTATCCAGGCCGTTAGGTTAGCCGCCTGTGTTCTTTTAGCTGCTTTATTGTGAAAAGCAGCTGTGAGCGTGAGGCGCTCCTGTTGGTTTCCTCCTCCCGTCAGCGCTGCTGCAGCAGAGTGGGTTATGTAACACTGTAGTAGGTTCAGTACGCTCTCAGAACACGACACGGCTTCAATCTACTGACCCACTTTAGGTTCCTTCAGAAAGAGGCCGTCTGGTGCTGGAGACGCAGAACGACTGGATATTAAAACATTTTTAGATATAAATACATTTTCTACACGTCACAAACAGCATTAAGAAAAAAAAACTAACAGGCGAGACAAACGGCACAAAAATCAGCCGAAATTATTCCTCAAAAGATGTAGTTCTCTAAAAATAACCCAACTGTAACAGTGATCTGGTTTCTCACTATTTTATCTGTTCCACATATTTTTCAGCACGTAACACGTTCTACAATTTTTGTTCTTTTTCAACATTTCATAAATCAAAACGTTCAGCTTCTTCATGCCATCGGTGCCTTGGCTTTTGGTATTTCAGCAACTTATTTTTCAGCTATTGTAGCTTTATTTCGCCACTTTTTTTCATTGAAAATGAATGGAGCTTAAAATCCTTTAAACTATTTATAAATCTGTACTTCACTTTTTACCTTTTGCTCTGGTTCTGCTTCTTTGTGCTAATTTAAGCTTCCTTCGGCTACTTCTTTTTTTTTTGCCAATTTTAGCCTTTTCTGTAATTTTGACTTCCTATTATTCTTTGAATTTAAGCTCTTGTGCTTCTTTGTTTTTTATGTCCTTGTTTTTGTTAGCTTTTGAGCTGTTTGCTGATTTCAGCTAATTTTTAACTTTTTTCTACAAACTCCACGTGTTATGCAACAAATTCAGCTTCTTACTGCTTCATTCAGCAAACATCTGCTCTTCCTGCTTCTGGGCAATAATTTCATCTTCAGCTACTTGTCAGCTCGCTTCAGCCTTTTTTTAGCTATTTTATCACAAAACACAACTTTTTTGTACTTTTCTTGTTTTTTTGCTAATGTGATCTTTCTTACAGTGTTTTTACTATCTGTCTGCTAAATCAAACTTGTTTCTGCTTCTTTAGCTACATTTCTGCTCAGTTCAGCTTTTTCAACACATTTTTTCTTTTTTAATTTCTTATTTTCTATATTTCACTTTCTTTTCTCTACTTTCGTCAAACATCAGCTGTTCAAATTCAGCTGTTTTGCTTTAAACATTTTCAGCATCTTGAGCAGGAAATTCAAACTGTCTGTCTTTCTTTGGCTTCTGTTTTCGCTGCAGATGCCATCGCAGATGACGCGGTGCGTTACCAGTACGTGAAGAAGAAAGGCTACGTCCGTCTGCACACCAACAAGGGAGACCTGAACCTGGAGCTGCACTGTGATAAGGTAAAAACAGATCGTCTGCACAGTAATGATTGTAGCTGCAGACTGTGTTGAGCTCCTAAAACATACATTTTTAGATGGAAGTAACTAAACTGATCCGAAATGTTTCCTTAGCTGTTGCTCTAAAAGCTCAACAGAATTAAAACATTTTATGAATTAAATGTTAGATTTTATATTAATACAGTGAAATTGAGGGATCAGTTTATTCAGTAATGAGGGCGTTGTTTCGGTCTGTGGTGGTGAAGAAAGAGTTGAGTCTAAAGGTAAAGATCTCGATGCCTCCTGGACTCGACTGCAGATAGAAAACAGAAATCGTGTTTCCATCCAGTTGGAGAGTGAATTTTTATCGAACTTTTCAAAATTTGCAAAAAAATTAAATAAATAAAAATTCGAATTTAAACTGTTTCCATCTAGTTTCCCTCTCGACTGTTTGATGCAAATAAACGAGGCTATGCAACGCGTGATTAGGTCAGACGAGGCTACGCAACGTGTGATTACGTCAGACGAGGCTGCGCAACGTGTGATTACGTCAGACGAGTCTACGCAACGTGTGGTTACATCAGACGAGTCTACGCAACGTGTGGTTACGTCAGACGAGGCTACGCAACGTGTGGTTACGTCAGACGAGGCTACGCAACGTGTGGTTACGTCAGACGAGGCTACG